ATTTTTGGGCGTCCATGAGCTGGCGCCGTCTGTCGGTAAATCTCGAAGCGATCTTACAGGCTGCGTTCCCATTTCGTCTCACTCAGTGCAGTATCCAGTGGCCGCCATTTTGCTGTATACTGCACTGGAGAAGCGTTCCCAAATTACTGGACTGGCTAGTGACAATCGTACCTCGTTCAGAATAATCACAACACGTTAATAAAAAAAATCAATGTGTACTGAAAAAATAAAATTATGTACAATAATTATATACAATAAACATTATATACAATAATTTATTGTTTTTAAATGGAAGTTATACAAACAAATAATCGGTATAATCGTCGTTATAATATTTAATAAAAATAACGCTAACACTTATTAATACATTGCTAATTGAAATATTTACTTATCAATATAATAATCTTTACTGGCAATAATTGCTTCAACACTATTTACATATTAACTAACAATTTTATTTAGGTTATGAGCTAATACGTGTGCGAAACTGTCACTAGCCACTAGCCATCCAGTAATTTGGGAACGCTTCTCCAATGCAGTATCCAGCAAAATGGCGGCCACTGGATACTGCACTGAGTGAGACGAAATGGGAACGCAGCCTGTGTATGCGACAATATGCTTTCTTTGTAAATGACCTTTTAAGTTTGTTATTGTCGACTTATACGATATGAATTGCTTACATATGTTGCACATGGCTTTATCACTATCAGTTTTAGTGAAGTAATTCCAAATTTCACTTCTACTGTTCACCATTATAAATAACACTGACTAATATAAAACAATTTTTTTAATAGGTCAATGAACTTTCTGTCAAAAAATGAGTTTACAACTAGACTAAAGCCCTACTCACTAGCAGTGATTAAGATTATGCGTACACGAGTGACGAAAACACGACAAAGACAACGCGATAACCAATCAACTTTTTTATAAGCAAAAAATTGACTGGCGCGTCGCGTCTTGCCGCGCGACAAGCGTTAACGAGTCCTGTGTGCCACAGGCCTACGTCTAAGATTCAACTGTTTTTGTTTGTTCGAAAAAAACAGTTCATTCGTTTTTTGTTAAAAAACAGTTTTGTCAAACAGTTTGGCGTTTTTATACCCACCACTAATATGATATAACGTCATTTTGGTAAAATTGTCGTTCGTAATATGAAATAAAACCAAACCATCTTCTACAATGACTTGTCATTAGAGAAGGACTACATGAAATAAGACAACAAACCAAGATTCCAAGGAGAGACTTTATGTAGGGAGAGAAAAGGAAAAAGGAAATATTAAGAGAGGAGAGCTTATTGTAGGGGAATACTATACTAACAAGGGAATCATCATAAGTGTCCCTCTCCGATTTGATTCTCGATGAAATATGTTGTAAAATATACAATTTTAGGTGACACGTATTTTTTTTATACGTACCCAATCAAAGGTTTAGGGGTTGATACACCCCTCTAAAAAAAAAACGGATTTTTTCTTTCTATGTAAATATCATGAAAACAAGAAGAGTTATAAAAAAATGTTTCCAATAAAAGTTTTATGCTACATTATGGCCTTTATAACCGCGTAGCTAGATTTTTAAAAAATGGTTTATTTTTTAATTTATCCCCACCTCTTGTTATTATTTTTGCGAATTTCAAAATTTTTATAATGAGAAAAATTGTAGTATTTTTTAATCTAACTTACACTATGTCCGTTTATTTTTTGCATACATACACATCTTTATTTATTTCTATATAAACTCCTACTATCCTCATATTAAGTAATATTTAACTCTTATGTCTTCTTATATAGAATTATTAATTTTCTACTTATATGTGGACCAAAAATGATTTTTTGCATTAAAGAAGTTATAGTCCAAAGTTATAGGATCAAAAATGGTCCACATATAATACTAATATTAATACTATCCTGTTTTACAGGATAGTATTAGTATTAGTATTGTAATTATATATTATCGTGTTTATCTTCACTTCTATCGATTTTTATCTATTTTTTTGTTGTTTTATATTAGATTTTACCATTCTTGTCTATTATTTCTTTGTCCTTTAGGTACGGTTCTCTAACTCAAGCGTCCACTGTGAAATTAGGCAGAAAAAGTGAAGGAGAAGATGTTTATGTTCCTATCTCCAGTATGCTTCCCATGGTTAATCCCAATGATATCGAAATTGACGGATGGGACATTTCGGATATGAATCTTGCAGAAGCTATGATGCGCGCCAAGGTGTTGGATATAAATCTGCAGGTACAATTGCGACCCTATATGATGCACATGCGACCTAGGAAGAGCATATATTATCCCGATTTTATCGCCTCGAATCAGGTAATTATAATTTTGATAAAATATGATTTCCTAAGCATATAACTTGCAAAAATGACTCTAAATAATAAATTATAAAGTCTAAATAATCCGTGAATTTCTACATAGCTCAAACTTTTCAATTTTTTTATATATCATTATTTTTTATTTATTGCCTCTTAAAAATCTAACGTTTTCATATTTTAATTATGTAATCAATAATATAAGGTTAAATTAGATTTATCTTGATGACATAAAACAATAATTATATTAGTTTTCTTACATATAAATAATAATTTTTTATTTTTTAAAGAGCATTTGGATGAACTTAATATTTTGCAAAAATTGCTTTTTACCTTAAAATTTGTTTCATAAATAATTATAAATAATTATAAATAATTATAAATAATTATAATTTTATATAATCTATAATAATATTAAGTTTGTGTTAATGTATTTTAAGAGGCTACAACTTTTTTAATGCAAAGGATTATAAATAAATCAAAATTTTTGTCAAAGACATAATTTAGTATGATTCCATTGTTTTACATGGGGCTTCATTATTTTTTTACAGTTACTCTTTTACAGTTACAGATACAGTTCTCTAACTTAAGCGTTTAAAATTAGTAAATTAGTAAAATTAATAAAATTAGTAAATTTGCATTTTTTACATATAAAAATAATCTTTACATCTGTATTTTGATAATTGTATTTGTAGATTTGATAAGAATCAGAGGTAAATATTCACATAAGGTCAGCACCTTCAAAAGTCAATGATCTTGACATATGTTGTCAAGCACATATCTCCGAGTAACAATTAAAAGATTTTAGCCGTCGCTCGTTGTTTATTAAAAAGTTATTAAAAACACTTATTGAATACTCGGTAGAACATAACACATATATTCGTAATCTGCTCAACGAGCACTTTCATCTCATACCATTTTTGATCCCAAATTCGAGTGGCGTAAAGTGGAGAACATTGTCTATGGACGTTTGGCCGCACTCTTTACGCCATAATTTTTTATTTATTCATGAACATACAAATACACAGTATATCTGAAAAATAACATAATTGATACAATATTAATTCAAACACATGACTATATGTGTAAAAATTATTTTTTCTACGGCGTTACAGTCCTAAACAGAACCTTAGCCTTAGCGAGAATTGACTTCCACTCATCTCTGTCCCTGGATTTTGCCCTCCAGTTACGCACGCCCAGACAGTCGATGTCGTTCATCACCGCGCGCCACCAGCGGAGTCTTGGTCTGCTCCTCGGTCTTCTGTTGTCAATGTGGTTTCAAAGATTCTCTTGCACGGATTGTTTTCTTCCATCCTGCAGATATGTCCTAACCATCTCAATCTGTCAATTTTGATGTGAGAGATGACATCTATGTCATTGTATAGCCGATATAGCTCCGCGTTCTTTTTCCTCCTGTATTCGTTCGCTCCTAATCTGGTTGCACCGAAAACTCTTTTCAGGATGTAAAAATTATTTATTTTATTTATAATACGTTCTTGTAGCATTGATATCGCTTTGGACACGGTTCAACCAATGAACAGATTTTTGAAGATTTGTTTGTGAAATCGCCTTGAGGATCCTTGTCATATTACTTTGATGATTAAAATATTATTGTAACAAATCCCTTTCACATCGGGATTTGAAGTAAAAATAGAAAATATAATAGTTGCAAGAAACCAAATCAGATGAATACGGCAGATAATCAATCACTGCTATTTTTTTATCAAAAACTCATATTTGGCTATGAAACTGTTAGTAAATGAGACACAAATCAACAGAATAAATCTGTTTATTCCAATTATTGTGTAAAATCTTGTGAATCGTAAATTTTGATATACTGAATTCTTTTACCGGCATTATATATTTACGTTTAAATCAACTGACTCTTTTTGGTCGTTTTTGGACGTACCAATTTTTCGTCATCTTCTGCATCTCTTTCCCTGCTCTTTCTAAATGTCGCAAATTATTCTTAAAAAAACTTGTAATATGATATAAGCAATTGTTTCTGTAATCTTATTTCAATATATTATTCAATATACAGGGTGTCCTAAAAGTATGGAAACGGCCGAATATCTCGTCAGGAAAGTATTTTTACTGAAAACAGTAAATGGGAAAATTTTAGGGTTTCAATAGAGCTATCAAATAAGCGAATTCGATTTTGGGCCCGGGCCCCATGTTGGGCCCTATAGGGTCCAAATCGAATTTCTTAAATGGAAACCCCCATTTTTTATTGCACATTCTTGTAGCTGATCTCGAGAGCTTTTCAAAACACTATAATAAAATATTTTTTTCATTAAGTACTTTTCCACTTGTAAGACTTGAAAGTTAGGTAGAGGGAGAGAAAACAAGAATGAAGCAACGCGTTCACGCACTCAACGCGTTTCTTTCTCTCTCACTTTACCATAACTTTCAACATAGGGCCTAAAATCGAATTTGCTTATCTGATAGCTCTATTAAAATCCTAAAACTTTCCCATTTACTGTTTTCAGCGAAAGTACTTCCCTGACAAGATATTCAACCGTTTCCATACTTTTAGAACACCCTGTATATATTTTATAGGTCACGTTTACGTCACGTTTACCGAGTTTAAAACAAAACTTAATATTGATTTGTTATGTCCAGACTTAAGAAAGTCACGGAAGGATCATAACAGTTGTTAATCACCGGTCAGATTTTCAAGGGTTTGACCTAGTGATCGGAACGGTTCGCAAGGTTCTGAAAAACGGGTCAACGACTGAAAGTCGCTTTTACTCCGTTATTTAGTAATGTCGTTCGATAGTTCCTTTTTTGGTCTGAGATAGAGATCGCAATTACCAGAGATGGAACCAGTGCAAGCCTTAAGCGAAAGAAATGCAGATGAGGTCTTTTAGAAATTAAAATGACACAATTAAAATAAATTTAAATTTACATTTAATTAAAAATGAGTTGGGTTTACTCAATATAAAAATTATTACAATTATGACTAAATTTTAATTTAATAGATAAAATTCTCTTTTACATACTAATGAACTAACAAATAAACAAAAACTTGTTCTTAAATTTACAACCATAGCTGAACTTATTACAAGTATCTAATTTAGTATAAATCTAATCAATATAACTCTGTGTATGTATGTGTGGATGTAATGTTCACTCTTCTGGTGGAAAGAAATAATTTACATGAGGTAAGCAGTCGTGGAGTGTAGAGGATATTGCGGTAGGACGAGATACGGGGGAATGTTGTCGGGTAGGTGCGTTGTAAAAATCAAGACCGGGGAATTCATCAAGGAGAAGATTTAATACATCGTGGATGGATTCAGGAAGAGACTGAGGAATATGGTTCCTCTATAAATTAGATGGAGGGGGAAGGAGAAGATGAGCGGGACCTTTCCGAATCAATCACAAGAGAATCATAAAGTGTGTTTGTTTGTATATGTGTGGTGCGTGTTAATATCGTGGAATGATTCAGGTGAATGGTTCTTCGGTTCATTTCGGTCTAATGTGTCGCAGGTAGGGCGATAAGAGGGATGTTACTCCCGTGAAAATAAAAAATTCTCTAAGATCTTGTGATCGAATCGAACGAGTACGGCGGCGAGAATTGGTGATTGCGCTCGAATAATTATGCACTATAAATTAAAATAAAATCTAGATTGTTCGCGTTCAAACGAGGTTAGAGATGAAGGAAAAATTAAATTTAAAAACAGACTTACTCGTTGATGATTTTTGACAGCTACAAGTGTGGATATGGGACGGGTCATTGGCAGGGTGAGTGGCGGTCCTCGATTTTGTCCGCAGGAGGGTCAGCTCGGTCAAAAATTGTTGGAGGCAGTTCCAATTTGCACAAGTTTATGATTATAATGATAAAAATTCGCTGTTTCGCGAAGTTACAAATCCGTAATGAAAAGACCGACTGAATTTAGCAAAATAATAATCGAGAAAAGAAAAATGTTAATGAAAACTGTCGAGGGACTGATATTGAACAAAAAGAAAGATAATAATTGTCGCGAAAAGGATTAACATGAGTTTTTATAATTGTTATCCTTCTTTTTTACATTCCAACTTAATAATTTTCGGCGTTGGTCTGATAGAAAAGTTGGTTTTCTTTGATTTCGGTGCGGCATAAAATGCTAATATCTGGAAAAATCTATGTATTCTATTGGTGGTTTGTGAGTTTTGTAGGGTGGTTACAAATCAGTTTCAATATAAAAAATAAATTATTTCCTACCAACATAGCTATTATTATACTAATTTTTACATTTGCAATCTTACAAAATGCAGCAACATATCTGTAAAATATTTAAAAAATTTTGAATAATTTTTTGTTTTTTACATATTAATTATTTTTTCTCACTATTCTACGTATAAAAATAATAAGGTAAGATTATCAAAAGTGAATATTTTACGTTTTATAAAAAAAACTATCATAATAAAATAGGAAATATCTCAGGAAGTTCTCATAAAAAAAAAGATTTGTAACCAATGTTTCGAAAACATCTCGACGTCAGCCACAAGAATATGTAATAAAAATAGCGGTTTTTATTTAAAAAATTCAAGATAATCTTGGCCACTAAAGGTCAAACTGTTCAGGCCACTGAATAGACTTTTTGAACACTGGAAGTTTTGTCTCAAATATTTTCCCATAAAACCAATTATTTCGGAGATAATTGTCCGTTTCCGGATTTTTAAACCACCCAGTAGACATCTTTTTTTATTGTGCATGGGTATGTATTTTTAATTGTGATGTATGTCTAGAAATCGACAAATTTATATATTTCATTATAACAATTGATAATATCATCCTTTAAAACAAAAATTGAAAAAAATATTTTGTTTATTAGAACATAAGGATTATTATCGTAATTAATACGGAATTAGTACGAAAATTCAATTCTTAAAAATTAATAAATGTGAGAACTATTTTTATGTGTCAAAAATAAAAATTAGGCAAAATTACATCCAGAAACAGTTGCGGTTTAAAACTGTTTGGACTATAATCACAGAACTTCAATAAACTAATTGTAA